ACCCGAGCTATTTTCCAAATAGCATTCAATCAAAGCCGTTTTAGCAATTAGATGACAAAGAAATCTGTATTTTTTCTAAATAATCACTTATGAAATCATGCTCACACAATTTTATCCACCGATAACCACCTTCGGCAAATAATTGTTAATTAATTTTTGTAGGTCTTAGCATTCTCCAAAATGGGAAAATTCCAACATTTCTCAGTGATGAGGTGCTCGATGAATTATTTGGCAGCCAAGATCCACAACCATGTATTAAACACATGAGAGAAGGATTATCTAAATTGGGATTGGTTCAGGTTATCTTATTATGCACATTTTTAGCCACAGTTCATATTATGCAGCTGAAGATGAACTTAGAAATCATTCCAGGCCACAAAGGGTTTACCCTCACTAGTTACTACCACTGCTAATATGAGCCACAATCTAAGAGCATATATGGCATTCCATACTGTAGTTTTAAATCTTTATTTGCATAATGCACACACTTGTCATTGCATTTAGATTGTACAGCAGCTACCTATTATGAAAAACCTGTTCCATCACAAGGAAGAAGTGTTAACAGTGAAAAGACTAATCAATCTGTTTAAACCAACATTCAGTGAGGAAGGATCAAATAATCGTATACTGGAGAAATCTATATATGCAGTCTTTTTGAAGTACATTCGAGAAGTTGCAAGTAAGATATTAGGGTTTCGTAAATTATATCTGGGAGGAGATAATTGTCATATATTAAATGCAAAAAATGGCAAGAACAAATTTCGTAGACTTGTATATCTTATAGTATGTCGAAATTTTGGCAAGCAGAAGAAATGGAGGCACGTTTTACCATTTATTTATGTAGAGCAATTAGCACCCTGTACTATGCCTTTACTTAATTTATCTGTTTTAATTTCGTTCTTTCAGTAGGGGTACTGTACAGCACACATGTATATTTTTTACATGTGCGCTGTACGTTATCCCTACTAAAAACAACAAAGGAAAAACAACACTTATAATTATCGGCTTCTTTTTATTTTCTAAATTTTAGGTGGCAGACGAGGCAGGTTGTCTCTTTCAAATATATTAGAGTTTGGTACTTGTGCTGATCAGGAGCCTATACTTGGTTTTTGTTTGCATCCGACATTGAAATTTTTTGAAGTTACCACTACTTTCATCCCAACTGCCAATACATGTACCAATTGTATTAACCTCCCACGACCAACCGTAAATATACCACTTCCTGGTTCTGAGGAACTGTTCAATCTGTTTGATTATGCTTTTATGAACACATATTTTGGAAATATGTAGGTTCTTAATGTTCTTTGTTATACATATTGAATGATAAACCGATTGAATGAACAGAGGGCATTTGATGTTTGCGTTTTGTTACGAAACTTTAAATATACACCCTGTTGAGTAATTTTGTTTTGTTAAAGAAAACATTCCATGTTGCGTTGTGGATTATTGAAAAAACGCAGCATAAGTAAATATTTGAATGTGCGAAAATATGACCATGGTGAATAGATGTATTTTAAATGTCGGAATGGTAATGAGAGCATACAGTATTTATTTGTAATAGATCAAGATATAAAAACAAAAAAAATCAATGTGTTTTTCTCAAAATACGTATTTTTCAGTAGGGTCCTGCAAAACTATGTTTTGAGTTTTAAAATTTAAACTAGCTTTAAAATTTAAACTAGCTGTGCAATCAAATGACAAGCAGCATTCATTCATTCCACATATTGCTAACAAAGAATCTATGTACACAACAATAGACCATACCCATTATGACGTTTCATGGCATAATTTAACTACTAAGACCAGGATGCTTTGCAAGCTTTTTCAGGTTTTTAACTAAGAAACTAGCAAAGCATTCTGGTCTTAGTAGTTAAATTTTGCCATGAAACGTCATAATGGGTATGGTCTATTGACCTATAATGCTATTTGTAAGTTAGCCTTACTCAACGGCCATCTGAATAGTGCTGAATTATATCAATAGCTCTTAAGTATAAATCAATGCCATGGTTAGCTGATGGGGCTAGATCTGGAATGTCTCTTGCTAGCTCGGATAGGCAATTTTCACTCAACTCTATTTGTGGAGGATCCAAAATAGGCCTTTCATTATCTTCTGTTTCAAACAAAATTCCTTCTACACCATAGTTAGTTGCATCATCTTCAGTGGCTGTTTCGGAAAGGCCGACAGGATTTTGCATCTGGCTTGACAGCCACAAACGCATAGGGCTTGTTTTTGTCGTGCGCATTCTATGATTTGCCCATGCTGTCTTCCATAAGTCCAACTTTTCATTGATTCTTGGTAGAAATACATGGTGTAAAGCTGCAATGCAGATCGGGTTAAGTGGGTCCACAACGTTCTCATCCTCAAGAAAATGAAACAGTTCATAATAATATGACAGTACACCGGTAAACACATCTCGCCATAAGCGTTCAATTCGTTGGTTATGGGTGCTCTTTCCGGTTATCATACTACATCGGTCAGCTCCCCTTTTCTCGATCATGTAGTCAGCAATGAGCACGTTTTCCAACCCCTTATCCGACCGGACTCTGCTTGGAAGACCAAACTCTTTTACAGCTCCTGTGAAGTAATGAAGCAATGTTGTAGCTTTATTATTGTTAGAACAAGACAGTGCAACAGGCAATCGGCTAAAGCCATCGATGGCCCCAAAAACCACCATGTGCCAACGAATCAGCTTGTGGTTTGTATCGACATGCCATAAATGATTTGCCCCTTTCACATTATAGACACGCCGATGCAAACGACCCCTCGATCTGTTAATAATTCCAGCTTCGTCAACTCTATGGAGGCTTTCGCGAAGGCGAAATCTTTGAACTATAACATCTTTACCACGTAACATTTGGCCTATCATATTCTCACCACAATTAGGAAAATCTTTAGTCAACTGTCCAACTATTTCGTCTAGTGCCTGATCGCTGATTGTCGAAAATATGTGCTTTCTTAAACCGTATGAAGCCATACGACGGTATACAGTTCTTTCGGAGACAGACAATAATAAAGATATTTCCTTGATAGAAAACCCATCCAGCAAAAGTTCCTCAATTACATTTTTGGGTAGGTTGTATTTCGGTGCTCCAGCTTCATTGTATATCTTGGTTGGAGATTGGCCGCCATAATTTACACATTCATTTCTCAACATCATCATCTCATTCGTGCATGTTACACCCAAGCATTGCAAGTCATGTGAAGACAGCATTCCCACGATATTTGGGGTTATTTTCTCTCGAATAAAATTTTCCACAAGATATCCCATATTCAATTTCTTGAGAATGTTCGACATATCAGAATCTGTCGCCATTTTTTATTTGGACATTTGGGATTTGGCGCCAAATTTGTTTCGCGCTTGTTATATACAATACTTCGTGTAAGTAACGTTGAATGAACAACTAAGCACTTTACAACGACGTACTGTATCTAAGCACCACGCAACCAAGTAAGCACTACACAACGAAATAAGCACTACACAACGAAGTAAGCACCACACAATAAAATAAGCACCACACAATAAAATAAGCACCACACAACGAAGTAAGCACCACACAACAAAGTAAGCACCACACAACGAGGTAAGCACCACACAACGAAGTAAGCACCACACAACGAAGTAAGCACCACACAATAAAGTAAGCACCACACAACGAATCAAGCACCACACAACGAAGTAAGCACCACACAACGAAGTAAGCACCACACAACGACATAAGCACCACACAACGAAGTAAGCACTACATATAATGACATAAGCACCACATATCAAGACAGAAGCGCCGCATATAATTATATAAGCACCACATATAAGAATAAAAACACCGCATATAATTATATAAGCACCAAATATAAGTATAGAAATACCACATATAATAATATATACACCACATATAATGATAGAAGCACCGCATATAACAAACAATGCACCACATATAATGATAAAAATACCGCATATAATGATATATACACCGCATATAAATAATATCAACGACTTAAGGCAGTCATGGCATTCCATACGTCTTGTTTATAAAAAGTATAATGAATAACTAAGACAGCAGACAACGGGTCCCCGAAGACAGAGGCGGAGAAGAGAGCTATGCATACAGCTCATATATACACTCGTGCCTAACGTGTCATAAAAGAAAGAGCATTGATGATTTTGTTCAAAGGAGAGATAAGTCGGTTCTCGGTCAGAAACCAGTTGTTCACAGAAATACGTTGCTAAACAAGCTCAAAGCCTCAAACGCCTGAAGAAGTAAAGGTGATTACTATATTAAGTTAACTAAGTTCTCTAATGACCTGAGATGTGGGAAAGCGTTCCGGAAGTGTTTCATTACTCGAATTGTCGTAATTCAGAAGCGTCTGATAAGAGTCCTTGTTGTTTGAGAGGTACACCGAAATAGTGAAAATTAATAAAAGGCTAGCCGAGACTAAAGACCCCGAGTTGGTGAGCTTAATACATGTTGTGACTGTACGTGGTCTGTATATATAGTCTGTATCATAGAATATTTAATGTCCTTTAGATATGGTTTATAGAATAATAAATATGAAAACTGTGCGTTTAACCGACTTCACACGTCGACGTAACAAGGTTTCGTCACACTAAGTCGTTTTGTACTCATATTCCCCAATTCACCCTACCTACATATCCATACCTATCCCCTGATTTTCCTTTACGATACCGCTGTCTGAAAATGATGTAAATTTGTTTGCCAAGTTAAACCCTTCATCACCCTGAATTTCTTTTTGTGATGAGAAGAAATGCCAGCTAATTATATTTCCTCCACCGTCAACAAATGAGTTCCTAATAAGCTTAAACATGTGGCAAGGGCCAATGATTGCACATACACAAATACTCTTCTGATGAATGCTTAAATTTTGTTACAAACGAATCATATGCAAAGTTTAAGTTCACCTTCCAGTTCTTTAAATATTTACTTTGGTCCCATTAACTCTTAGCTCTGCCTCTTCTGCCATTTTCAGAGCAATTTTGGCTAATAATTTTGTTATGCTTGTTGTTGGGATGACATCTTATCTGCCAGGGAGTAGCCAATAGGGCATTTCCAGTTGCTCCTTGTTCCAACCAGTGAAGATACATCTGCTTCGGTGATAAATATGACCTTTATTAAGGACTTGGCACTACCCAGTACATAACAGTATATTTTAGGATAAAACTTTATTAATAGATTGGTTTGCAGTCTTTCAGTCAGTTATTAAAGGGATTATCCCCCTGTCATATCTTAATCACGTTCCTCACGCGACATCTGTTATACGGATTGTTTTAAAGGACTCTTGTACAAATATTACTAAATAGTCTACGACCTATAAAGGAGTTTGTATGCATTTCATTTAGGACAGATTATCTCAACTGGTTTAGGGTAAAATGACCACGGCAGTCAACATGGCATATGTGCCAAAATCTGAATTCGGGACAGACGTACTGAAAATGCTTACACTCAGAAACGGCACTGTCAACATGATTCAAAATCGTTGCTTTTAGCCGGGGTGGTCACTGGATAGTGAAATCAGCCTAGGTTTTATATTTTTTCAAGAGGTTGAATGAATGTTTACAAGAAAATGAATATTCAGGTAAACTGCTAATCATAATGCATAAAATTACGTACTAAAATTTTCTTTTTAAAGCAGGATATACGTTACGGAATTCAGAACTAAGCCATATTAATTCCAAAACCCAAATTACTAATAGACTGACAGCAACGTATACCACACCCTCTTTGAAGAATGTGCCACCAGCTAGAACACGACCGATCAAAAAACCTAAGTTCAGCACAGAAAAGGATATCCCCTGATACAAAGAAGCGCTATTTACTGGTGTTTCTTTGGATAGTATTGAGCATAATAATGGAAACATCACGAATCCAACACTTATAGATAAGGCGAGAGCCAGAAGTAGATATGCATGATTAATACTGTGATCGTTTTCCCAACTGAAGCCAAAGTAGCCCAGGATTAATACGGGAACAATTCGTAAAGTGACGCCTATTGCCAAGAGATTTTTCTCTGACGTAATGTTTGATAACACGTAGCTACCAAAGAAAAGAAGAAGCGAAGCAAAGGCAATGTTAGCGTAGACAAGTTTTAAATCGAGAAAATTCATGCCAAAGCGTTTAACTGCAAAAAGTGGAATATAGACTAAGACAGCGTCCCGCACGGCTATGCTTTGAAATAAGATAAAATACAAACAGCATATTCTTGAATACGAGTATTCTTTATCGTTTGACGAATATTCTTCACATGAAGCTTCGGATTCGTTCTCGGCGTTTGAGCTATCACCCGACTCAGAAAATTTAGGCGAATTTGCTACAAGATCATTTGGCAACCAAATCGTATAGATGAGAAGAAAAAGCCATACAATGGCCAAAACAAGCCCAGGAGAGTTTCCTGGGTTAATAATCAAACCAAACACATTAACTTTAAATGTGAAAATCGCGCCAACAACGGGACCAAATGTTGAACCAATACAAAACAGTCCTTCGAAATAGAGAAATGCTTCTGCTCGTTTTCTATTATTTGTCGCTTGAGCAATCGCACCGTATATGACTCCAGTTGTACCTTCACCTATGCCACTAAGAATTCTTCCAAAAAGTGGAAAATACTTGTTGACAGGAATCGTATAAAGTATTTGTCCAGTCAATTTGATTACACAGCAGAAGAGAAGAATTGTCTTTGGCGATTTCACTCTCGCGTCAACAGCACCGATCAATGGTGCTGTGGATAACACAGCAATAGAATAGACTCCGAGTAAGAAGCCAAAGAATAAATGTGACTCTCCAAGGTAATCTACATAATACAAGGCTGTTGTTTGAATAAGGAATTCTTCCATGCCATCAATGAAAAGACGAATTGTTACATATACAAAAACAAGTCTTGTGAAGGAGATAAATTTCATTTCTAAAATGGGAAGATGCAGAGTATTTAATTAGTATTACAGCCAGGAACGACAAGTGTGAAAAAATCAAAAAATCAAAAAATTGAACTCTACTTAATAGCCGAACATTGTTTTTACAGCGTAGTTTGTGAACCCTATACTATTCGTAGCTATATTTGCTCACCTGTGTCAAGCGAAATTAATGACCTTTGCGAAATTTATATATGAACTCTCGTGACCTCGAACATAATATAATAAATGATGCTTGCGAAATATCTTGTTGAAAATTGGTAATTTCTGCATTTTGCTCTAAATAGCCACTTTTGAACAAACCCGTGGATTGCTTACGTTAAGTTCGCAAGGCACGAAAATTTCACCGATTTTCTCGAAATCGATAATTGGCTAAGTGAAATGGGCTAAAGTGGCTAAGTGATTATTTCACATCTTGCATGATAAATGGAGTCATTCCTTAGAATAGACAGCGCTGAATGTCGCTGTTCATGAAAAAAGGTTACAATTCGCCTAATTATTATTGCTTTCTTGTCATTACGATTTTTATTGTAACAACATTTGCTTTATACTCATCTGCATGTACTATTGAGTAGAAAGATTGTGTGTGGTTGACATTAGGTCGAATCATGAACTGGTCTAAGTTTGTTTACAGTCTGGTGTCACATTAATATTTGCCAAAAAGGCAATATTTTCATATTTCAATTGAGTGCATAAGTACTGATTTGGCATTTTCTGTTTATAATTATAGTATATACAACCATTTGCAAGCGACCGTTTTCACGCGTTTTTTTAAGTTTGAAACGTGCCTGCATGCAGGCAAACCAAACATACGCACTACTAGCAGAGCCTATGACACTCGATGTGCGCACCTGAAAGGATGATATACGCTGTTTATTCAAAGCATTCATTTAAATTAATTTCACAAGCTATTGTTTGTGCCCGTGGTTATAATTGAAATCTCCATTCTCATGCCCACTGCATGCATGTACTGCATATGTATCTTGACCGATAATGGTTTACTAGCTATATGGCTTTAGTTTACTAGCTATGGCTTTAATTCGGGCTTGTAGACCTTTCGGGCGCTTCTTGGCTTGATTCCGCAGTGTAGTACTTTTAACACGTTCTGCGCATGACTTCTCCAGATCTTATAGCTTAATATAATATGACTTCTCCAGACCTTAACTTTATATAATTACCAATATCGCTAATGATTCATGAAAATTCTATACTCATAAGGTGAAGCTCGACTCGACTTTAGGGAATATCACAGGGAATATAGACGGGATTTTACGTATACCTTGTTGTCGCCACATATATTATATATATATATTTAATTTAATAACATACCTTTATATCCGTATATAAATATAGTACGGTATCACTTCCGAATTGAAGTTTCTTTAGTATAAGTTTCGATCTTCTATAAGTCTTTATATCTTTAGTTTATAATTATAAACCTGTAGCTAAAAGCTTAAAGCTTTGTTATCCTGCCGATTATAACTCTTCCGTCCGTAGCTACAATATGTCCACAGACCACAGAATTATCTGTGTGACATGGCCGGTTAATGGATCGTGTTACAGTCAGTGAACTCTATATGTATGGAAGGCTGGAGTACATTGCGTAATCTAAAAGTGAAGCCAAACATGGCGGATCATGAAGGCTGCTTGCATGGGTACCGAACCACATACCTCCACGCACGAGCGGTTAAAATTTAATATGGCGACAACGAGTAGGAGTGGAATACGGTTAGTTTTGTAAACACAACACAAATATACGGCATAAGTTACCTCTCTAGAAAGAATAACATTGCCAGGTATTGTAAGGTTGTAACAAATTGTATGTATATTCGTTTTTAAACACTTTGTTTTTCAAAAACTTTGTAACGTCCGAAATGTTAGCTTTTCTATTTTTTGTCATAGTTTTATAATTCGTGTTTTCAAGTTAATTTCCACGCGCGTTTCGCGCATTTTACGCTTCGTGAAGGTCTGGTTGGCCCAAGCAACCTTCATGATCCGCCATGTTTGTCTTCAAACTTTGAACTGGAGCGAGCCTTCCATATATATAGAGTTCGGTTACATTAGGTTACATGGAGTTCGCCTACTCATTCTCGCTCACTTTATAAGGCCTGTTTTCCACTAGGCGAATTTTGCGCGCGGAACGGAATTTATTGCGCTTTCATGTAGAGCTAATGCCGGAAAAACAAACAAAATTCCTCTCCGCCTACAAAATTCCACCCAGTGGAAAACAGGCCCAGTTAAGTGCATATATAGGCCTTCGGCGAGGTGATTTATATTTATATTTATACACCATTGATAACTCTATATTTATATAAATGGACTATCAGGCAATGTGAAATCAGTGTCAAATGCCCGAATACCCATGCATCTCTTCTTTCTCGACTGAAATATCTTACGTCTTCCCTAAATATACCCTTGGCTTCATTCAGTCTATAATCATATGGATCCCCCTCACTCCAGGGGCCGGTTGTTCGAAAAGTTCAAAATGGAGAACGAAACTATATATTTATTGAACAACTGAGCTGAAATATTTTGATGTAAATAGCTTAATTGTCAATGGAAGTGCATATTTAATGCATAAGATGCAGATTTAGTCATTCACAAGATGTATGAGAGTAATTTTAAAGTTTGGCTTATCCACCGTTTAAGCTAAACGCCTTTCGAACAACCGGCCCCAGGTCTATAAATGATAAAAATGTCCCTTAAGCGTCTCCAGCACCGCAAAAGGAAAATAATCGTAATAATGAAAAACGAATCAGTTTAGTTGCGAAGTTAATTTCGTGATGTTCATGCATTGAGACGATGCAGCACGCTGTACGCGGGTCATGTTACAAGTATAAGCTGTGCGGGCAATTAATAAGTGACTTAGCAACCAGTGAACCGACTGTCCTTAGCAACAATGCAATATGTTTACATCGCACACGAGCACAAAGTTGGCATTGGAATACAAGTTTATTCAGATCGCTATATTTCAGTCGATTCGAGAACGTTCGTTAATCAGGAGATTGTTGCTTTATTAAATACCACAAGCTACTGTTAGTTCGTCTTCAAGCGATGCCTGTAACTTTTTATGATCAGCCTAATCTTGCACAGGGAAAGGTTTATGTTGATCCGGTGTTTCGGTATGATTCGTCCGCTCGGCTGTTAGGACGCGAACAATATCAGGATAGCCCCGATAAAATCCGTTTGGCGACAAAAACCGACTCGCGTGTTAGCACACCGGTCTCGGAATACAATCGGGCTTTCGCTCGCTGCGGCACTCCTCAAGATGTCGTTGACAATAACGCTATGTCGACAAATGCATGCGAAGGCGACCAGGCATTTCATGAGATGACAACAGGTACTTAGCCATAGGCATATAATTATAGGCCTTTGAGATATAATATTGTTCGCAACAATTTACGAAGAAATTATTATGTCTTTGAGATTAATGTTTATATATAATGATTGTTTTAGGCAGTTTGCAAGATAACAACGTCAGTTTTCGGACAGAAGATACATCTCGATTAACGAGTCAACAGTGGGAGGTTTATACAATATTATTAAGATAATTATCTAACAGAAATGCAAATTAAGTTATTTTCGTAATTAATTTACAATGGCTATAAATGACCAAATCATGATTGTCATGCACATTGCAATATTTGTCGATCGGTACAGATTGTTTTAAATCGATTTTTGTATGTTCTCTATAACTATGTCTAAACATACTATTAAAAATATCGTTTACCTACACTGAATTGCTGAAAAAATTAACTGTAGTTCACGTAGAATGGTGACAAGTCCATCACTCTCCCATTATAAATGAGGCTTTATACCCACCTCGTATAAAGACCCTGCATGGGTACGTACGTACGAGATCAATAAAAGATCGAGATCGAGAAAACAATAATTCCAAAAATGATGACGGCATAAGCCTATATATGTATATAAATCAGCTATAGACCAAAAGATTTTGAATGAATCCGAGTCTAAAGCAGTATGGCTAAAATAAATATGTAAAATACTGTCATGGAGCGACCATGATTGATGAGTGTTCAGTTGTGTGCTCCATGTTACAGTTAGATTTCAAGATCTTCAAAGTTATACCACTTTTGCGAAACGCAAAACCCGACTTTACGATCTACACATGCATATTGACATATATAACATCAAAAATTACTTACAGTGCAACAATATAAATATATATACTGTGCTATTTTAGTGAATCGCTTCACCCATTCACGTTTTTAGGTTGAAAATCCAACTCACGTGCGAGAGGACATTCGATTAAGAGACTATCTTGCGAATAAAGCATTTTACACCACTTCTACACAAAAGTAAGTACAAATTTGGTATAGATATTGTTTTTACTCGTGCTCTAGGAGGGCACGAGTCTAGGTTTCGTCGTGTGTCGGTCGCGTTTTGGACCTCGATGACCCAGAATGCATTGCGCACTTGACCCAGTAATGTATGACGAAATGTAATTATTCGACAATACAAGCCACTTTTACAAACAATACGGCAAAATATATTGCACAGAAGACATTACTACGGTGCAACATTTAACGCATATTCCTTGGTGCGATGTATATTTTTAAATTCCTATATGAAAGCAAGATATATGATCGATGTTTTCGCAGTTTTTCCTACAAATGCTAATATCACACTTATTAATACCTAAATGTTTGAACCGTCGACTGACATTACGAACAAGTGCGAATCAATACTATTAAACTAGATTTTTGAAAGCTTTCGTCGGAACTAAAACACTGCAGTCTGCAGTCAATATGGATATAATAGAAGCATTGAAACAGTAATATGTCACGCCGTGCGGATTGTTTATAGGCTACCTATAATCGGCATTTGTGAATTGTGATAATAATGTAAATGTATTATTTTATACTTGTGTGATACATTTTTGTCGTGTAAGTCCTCCCAGGCCAGGGTAACCATAAAGCCTTAACTTACGCTATAGGTTCCCACAACACGCCATGATTGTGTCCCTCAAGTAATGCTATTAAGTCCCTAGAACACAATCCCTAGAGCACGAGTGTACGCCTAAGCCGGCGTCTTGTTTAAATATCGATCCCCAAACAAACTACCTCCCCTGCAGTCCCTTTTCCGGGCAAATATGGCGGGCGTTGATATTTTGCGGGCAGAAACAAACGAGTTCAACGCATGCACGCACTAGCCTCTTCCGCAGGCATCTCTTATGTATTAAAAAATGCATATTTGGCTGAGCTAAACTTTTACGTGCGTATGCGTACGTGCAAAAAACGCGACAGTGGAATGCAGCCTTAAACGTAAGAATTTGTTTAAGAGTAATTAATGCATGCAGGTTCCGTTCAGTTTTAATCCACCCTGGACATCATAACTAAATAATTATGAAATCAAGCTTACCTTGTTCGTTACCCAGTATCAACCGAGAACAACAAACTGCATGTATAGGGTGGAAAAATTGTTATATTTTAGCATTTCACTATTTGCTCTTTTTCGTGAACGATTATATAAGTACGCATTTTTGTCTCAGGCTTTACCAAGGTGTCGACTGGCACAAAAGGATAAATCGGTCACCTGCTCCTCCTAAAACTAGCAAAGAGTTGAATGCAGACACGGTGTCCCATCGATATGAATTAAAACGTTATGAACCTAGGAACGAAAAGTGGCAGGTAGGTGAATATGCTATATTACATGGAGCTAGGTAACAGCCTCGATATATAAACAAATTAACACCGATAACATAATGATAAACATTAAATGTGAGAAAATACATTGAAGATGTAAAATAATGCAACGCAGATAAATAAAAGTTGTGTATATTACTAGAAATATCAATTCACATTACGACATGAATCTATGTCTGCATCTATATTACCTCCAGATAGGACTATCAGGGAATCAATCCCATCGTTTCAGGGCATGCAAGCGCTGCATGGAAACCCTTAGTATAATGACACTTCACATTGCCGATCTATTCAGTTTTGATGTGAAGGGATGTGGACAAAAGAATGGCATATCTCCTGAGTATTTGTTTTGTTCAGTAGACTTTAAAGTAAGAAAAGGTGAGAAAATCTGCAAAGTGGCGAAGAAAAAATTCTATAACGCTTTCATTGCAACAGAGAAAAATAGTGAGGAATTCCGTACTCGTATAGTCGTGCACTAGCCATACTCGTATAGATGATAAAACAACATCCACTTTGGCAAACAAATGTTAATTATTCCCTATGCTTTTTTAGGTAATTGGAAGCAGACCGTTTTCGTGGGATTATAATCAAACAAGGGACGGACACCACGCACCTGGACCAGTCAGTTTGTAAGCAATAATTTTGTATCTTTTGACGTTAACCACATGTTCGTTAATTCTATAGGAAAAAAAGATCAGTTTCAATGACAAAGTATACGCACTTGACACTGATATAGTTGGATACACGCGCAGTTCAAGGGGTTAAAAAAATTTCCCCTAAAAATAGCCTATGCAATGCATTTTTTTTTGCCTATCTCGCAATTACAGTGTTCTTTCACTGGAATGGTTAGGTAGTGATATAAAACATTTTCTGTGACTGTGTTGGTATATGGATATCTACACACATGTAAATGAAATCATGAATGTTGGAAAATCCTTCTAAATTTGTGCAAAAACTTGCCTCTCAGGCGTGTCGCTTTCCCACAAAATTAAATTTCGTGTATGTATATAATATCACACGAATTTCTGGATTTCACATGCAAAATGTTTTTTATGATGTGCATATTCTACGAGAAAATGCAAAATACCATAATCTCTCAGCTGTTTCGATAAAGATATCTCGTTGCCATTAACACTATCCATGCAGGCTGTAGCACGCAACCTTATTCTGCATGCCAAATTTTAATTATTCCTATTGATCATAATTATATTTAATACATTTCTTATCAATTTTCTAGCTGTTCGCCACATAGGAAGATTGCTCATTTGCCAGGATACATGTAAGCCATGATAATGCTTCCGTGCAAAACAGTAAAACGTGGTCTTGTTCGGTAACGCCCGGCTGCATGACAACCACCGGACACATGACATATTATATAGTTACTATATCGAAGTACGATTTGCGTGGTTTGTATAGGGGTTATGTGAGTGGCGGTCCTGGGGAAATGGATGATCCAAAGTCTTCGTTCTATTCATCGAACAAACAACGAACATTAAAACCGAGATACACTTACACTGCCAGGCAAGTTTAATTTTAATTTGCATATATGCACTACAAGGCTTATAACGTGCATATATATGATGCACGAAAACACTGGTGCAAAAATTACAACAATACAAAATTATAACATCAAAACATTTTTTTAGAAAAGGCAATATTCCAGGGTACGCGGGTTGTGTACTGTTTTACGACCACACACCAGCTTGTGTCAACGATCCTGAGCATCTGAGGAGCACAACCGCGAACACATACAGGTACACAGTGTATAATGTATACACCTAAGAATGATAACAAGTTTTTTAAAGAAATTAAATGCGTAAAAATGTTTGCATGTGCATTTCAATTTTCACTGTCTTTCTCTTTTTTGTGTATATATAGACCACACGAGGAAGGACAGTGTAACAGCAAATCACCGTACAAGAAATCGGCGCCCATGTCACGAATGGTTACACTAACTCGTCCGTTCAACCCTTTCAACCAAGTGTATTAAGTGTTCGATCATCATGATTATGTGTGTTTTTCTGAGTGTGCATCGAGGCTCACTTGAAAATGGGTACAACAGAACATCAGTTTCACTGATAAACACATTTTGTTCCTTAAGTCACCGCTGTGCCAAGCTTTGTCGCTATAGTAAAAATTTTGGTACACTCCATGTGAAATAATTGACCAAATATATTTGTACAATTTTTTAAATTTTTCTACTCTATAGGGGCTAGGTTTTTTAACTCATAGGTTGAGAAGCAAACTTATATCGTAACTTGAAACTACACGATTCTGATTGGGCAATTCTCGCACTACCTATAGTATAGGAATTAGGAAAAGTTAACTGCCGTTTATACAATCGGCCCCATCTATCGATGCAAGAGCTCCGTGTGACTTATTTTCTCGAATGCCTAGGAAGGGTCCCCCCCCAAATTTTTTTAAAACCAAAAGTGCCTCTTTGTGACCAAAATACTCTTTTTGTGACCAAAAATGCATTTTTGGAGAAACTAATGCGCCCTTTTTGTTTTCTACGCATATGCCCAAATATATTTGCCCACATACACTTACCCACAATCTCACTCCCAAAACGCAGGAAATCGCATTTGCTGCACTCAAAACTGTGGGGAGTACTATATATCTCACAAAAAATACCTTTGTTACACCCCAAAATTTTCTGGGCGGCCCTGACCACACTAGAGGTGTCCTTGCAGCTATGGCAATCAAACCATAGTGACCAAACGTGCCCCTCGAAGTTGGTCCCCCCCAATCTCTGGATGCTCCTACGCCCATTGATACATCAGTCTCGCCCCTAGTTCATGTTAAGCGGTAATGTGACATATTAATAAGAAAATTATGAAGGAATGGTTGCAACAACCGTGAGGTCCGTCACTGTGGAAACAGGTTGAAATAATTTGCATACAATTGCCTGAGTATTGAACCCGACTTTATTTCGCTATTATGGAATATGCGGGTGTAAATACCAGAGGCATTGCATTGTACAACTACCCCACCTGCAGGTTGTCGCTGCAAGAAAATTATTTAGACTTTCGTCTATTATCAATGAAAGGCGAAATTCAAAGGAACGGTTTTGTAGTTTGTATTCTGGTATGAAATATTCAAACATATTTATAATATATATTACTTCATTTACTTGGTTTTTACAAGAGACTGGTTCTCTATACCAGATACAATTTGTCCCACTCAAATTGTGTCCTGCGTACAACTTACTGGAATTAAATAAATGGCAATTTTCACCCTCACTTCTCTGCAAAGCACTTCCATGTCGAAAGCAGAGAAGTGGTTTTATTGGAGTCACAAATGATGTGTCATTTTCAATTGTTGACCCAATAAAATTGAGCAAAAAAATCAAATTGGTTGCAATTTCCGATGATGTTCTGGCAAATATCCTTGATCTTGATCCAGGGAAAATCGTAGAATTGCCATATTTTGCTGAATTTGCTGGTGGGAACTATATTTTACCATCATCAACACCAATTGCACATAGATATGGTGGACACCAGGTATGCAGAATTGTGGCTTACAATCAGATGGTATAGTTAATCAAGAACTGCATGATTATATGGTGCATGGTATGAATATATGGCGAATTATGTGGTGCATGGTATGATTATTACCAGCTTATTAACTGATTATGGGTGATTCTGGCATTTAAGTAAGCAGATCCAGTGCCATGCATTTTCTGCTATTTTTGTGAAAGACAAAGAGAATTATCTATAAAATATATATACCAGAAAGCATCTTTTGAATGCAATAAAATATTGAATTGTAGCTTAATTGTCTTAATTCTCGCATATTTTTATATAATTCAAGCTAATTAGGTGGTATTACCTAAAATGATACAGATTACTAGAATATTTGGTTTAGGACTTTGTGATTTTTTAAGACAGATTTGAATTGACCTGTTTATACTGAAAATTAAATAATTACCATATTTATTTTATAGTTTGGAAGTTGGGCTGGGCAGCTTGGTGATGGGCGTGCTATTCTATTGGGTGAATATGTAAACAGGTGCGGTATGCTGCGCCAGTATAAATTAGATAATGTTATGTTAATTAATTATATTACAATCCTAATTCACTATACACCACATAAAATTTGATATTTGATTGAAATCTGCACACATGAAACAATTTAAGTATCAATGATTTTATGAATTATATATTTATTTGTGTTTCAGGCACGGCAGAAGATGGGAACTGCAACTTAAAGGTTCAGGAAGAACCCCTTACTCAAGGTAACTTCTCAATTAGTAAAATTGCAGTAGTAAAATTAACAGCAGGGGTCAGCTGTATAAAATGTATACCTAATTTAACTAAATTTTCATTGTTAAATCCTAGTTCACTCAGAATAATACAACACTCTGCTTGACCAATTCTGTCCTTAACTGCACTTAAAAGTTAACTAGTCTTTTATATACAACTTTCCCCATTAAGTTTAATGTCTTGTTTACCATTTGTTATATATCAATACCTTGTTAAGGTAGGTCATATGGTAATTGGCAGAATATAATGATTTATTATGCAAATATACCTACTGGAGAGATATATTACAGCTGGTCTTCATAAATTGCATGTTTGTCATTGATAACCTACTGGCCCATCCATGGCCATGTTTTGTTTGCAAACTGCCTCTCAGCAGTATAGTTTATGTATTGCACTATGTGAATAAATGTTAGAACTGGCAAACATTATATAAAATTAAATGATCGAGGTACATGCATCTGCATGCATGTGGTACATGCATCTGCATGCATGTCCTCTAAACTGTGAATACATTACACCTTGAATTGATTTATTAAAACCTGATCTCTTTTTGAAGGCATGGAGATGGTAGAGCAGTTGTGAGGTCATCAGTTCGAGAGTTTCTTGCAAGTGAGGCAATGCATTACTTGGGTATTCCAACAAGTAGAGCTGCAAGGTACTTTGATCACACTTACCCTGAACCAGCACACTGATTGCTGATCTGAGTAAAACACCCAGCCAATCAGAAGCCAGATTCTCAACAAAACGGTAATGATCATTTCCTGACATTCCCGTATATCCTGTGACTCCCACACTGGATAATTCTAAGTACCGGTAGCTAACATGATTATTATTTTGATGCTGAAACACATTGTATTTTATTACGATCGTCAGCAAATTATTTAACTGTCATTTTGCAACAAGTCAATATTTATTAACCTTTTAAACAACACAGAAACAGTTGAAGACTGAGCGACGAAAAATTTTTGAAAAGTGTGAATTTTAATTATATTAATGAAACAAAATATCACTTCAAATCTCAAAGTCGACTGTAAATCTATCAACACATTTGAATCATTTCATAATATATGTGCAGTTTTAAATTGGCGAGGTGAGGGTTTAATTACTACATGCATGTATTTCTAGTATAAGTAAATGCCCTGAATCGTATAACACTGTACTTTCTCATTTTTGTCGACATTTTTTGGCATATATCATGAGCATAATGTACTGTGATTGAAATTACCTTACTTGAGTAAACATCTTAACCTTTTTTTTGAAAATTAATTTACTCACTGAATGTTTTTTTAATTGTTTAGTTTAATAGTGGGCCAAGACGAGGTTTGGAGGGACCAATTTTATGATGGTCATCCAAATAAAGAACGCAGTAAGTGTATGCACATAATCACTGTATGCTCATCTTTCCTGTTATATTAACAACTGATCCAGTTGCAAGTGTATGCCTGATCATAGGGCCAGTGTAGAGTTGGAGAAGGACTCGATCAGGCTTCCCGAAACACTCGTTAAAAATGTGCTATTTTTCCAATAAATTAAAATTAATCAACTGGGGGTCATTTTCTAAGTTCAAAACCGGACATGCATGCCAATTAACATCTCAAAACAGCCTCTAGGCTTGTGCAAAATGAGCGAATTATGAAAGGCGATTAACCATCACTGATCATGAAAAGCGCTGGATCGCACATCCTTTCTCACTAAATTAGCTAGTTTTGAAATAGGGATATTTACATTGTCAACATTCTTCTGCTTGGAGAATTAAGTTGCGCGACCGCTGTGTACCCAGTGCTAGTCACATGTCAATAATTTGAAGCTATACTTGGTGTAACTAGCCGGTATAGAAAATGGATGAAACGACGTTGAATAGATTTGGCTACATTTTTTAAAAAATTCCTATCGATTTTTCCTATATTTGACAGTCGCTGTCGTTCTGAGGCTCGCGCATTCTTGGTTTCGTATTGGATCATTAGAAGTTCTCACCCTGAATGGCGAGATAGGCTTGTTGAGGTAAGACAAGATTTGTATTTGCATGGCGCTGCATGTCGACTACAGACAGTGAGAGCCATCCCGACAATGTTTGCAAAAATAGTTAATAAGGTTTTAATATTTTTTTAGGAAAACAGTTGACTTCATAATAGAGCAGCACTTCTCTCATCTAGATGTTCGCAAAAACAAATATGAAGTACGATTGTGATTTGGAACCATGCGGGTTTCCTTCCGGCTGGTTTTTTTGTGCCATAGATTTTGAACAATTCTGAAGCTAAGAATCTCTTTAGCTACGTCATATTTTTATTAATTAATTCTGATTTTCCCGTTCCTTGTAGGAATTCTTTGCTGATGTAGTACACAACACAGCGGATATGATTGCAAAATGGCAATCTGTTGGTTTTGCTCATGGTGAGTGACCATTAGGCTGTATAAATTATTGATTAAAAAATTTGAAACTAAAAGTGACATTGAACTCCCTAATCAATGAGAAGATCCTAACGCAGATAGCGCCAGGATTAACAGAATTGAGTCGAGTTTTATCAAAACATTCCTCAAAAATATTTTTGGTAGGAGTAACAAGAAGGAAATAAACTACGAAGGCTAGAAAGAGCGTAGTTAATGCAAAATTCTGTAAATTGCGGCAAATATAGCAATGCGAAGTTGGCATATTTTGTATACTTTGGTATTACGTGCCGAATTATGTGTAACTAAATTAGTTACAGGTAAATCAATTACGAATTTGTAGGTAAATTCTAAAGGTTTTTTAAATGGTCGTAATTTCGGGTGGAATCATACGCAACTCAAGCCAGGAGCATGCAGTTGAGAAAAAATAGTGAACTATATATCGGTCCTCCGGCAGGAATCGAACCTACGCTTATGCGATGCCGGTGCAGTGCTCTTGCCAGTACACTGAGTTGTGTATGATAGTGTATGATTCCACTCGAGATTAAGACCGTTTAAAAACGTCAAAAAATTAGTTACACATTTCCGGCCGTAATACAAAAATATGCAAAATTTGTGAAGCTCGCATGGCTATATTTTCCGTAATTTACAACATATAATTTACAATGCTCTTTCAGTCTGCAATATCCTACTATATATACCATCACAAATACTTTCCATAGGCGATTCAAGTAGGCTGCAATGATTAAGTTTGAATCTTTCATTTTCAGGTGTTTGTAATACTGATAACTTCAGTTTGATGTCTATCACAATCGATTACGGACCTTTTGGGTTTATGGATGGATACAATCCAAGTACATGTTCTTTAATATTTCTATAAGGCATCATGCATGCATACATAATATCATTACATTATTTTAACCAACCAGTTTTTACAGTGTATTCTAGTTTCATAACATTTACAACATTAACACAATTTTCTAGAGTTTGTGCCTAATACATCCGATGACGAAGGTCGTTATAGCTATGAAAATCAACCTGATGTTGGATATTTCAACTTGAACAAACTACGTCTCGCTTTGGCTCCGCTAATTAGCGAGAAAAGGTACTACTTCAATTTTTCTTTTTATAAAAACTCTCATAAAAGGTGGGAAGGTGCAGGTGCATGATAGCATTTCATCGGCCATTTCCCAGGTTACTGTTCAGCCACCAGCAGTAAATCTACGTACTAGTGGTCTGCAATAAGGTTTTAGGTGGCATTGTTATGCTTATACTATGAATTCAGAAAAAAGTTGCTTATTGCACGGTCTTTTGTTACATTTACACCAGACACTGGTGAGAAGAACGCAGACTTTATAGCACTGAAGTCAAAATATTGTAATAGAAATGTTGTAAGCATGTTTCCCTGTGGCTATAGATATATGTTACAATTATGGTCTCGTACTAGCATGACAATAATGTTTTATTCTAACTTTCTTTCTTTTACTACATTTATTTACAATTTAGGTCTTCAGATATATTGAAGAATTACTCAAGTATATTCACGCGAAAGTAAGTTTCGAAATAGTTATCAAATGAGGATAATTGCACCTATATAATTATTATTAACATTGCTGTCAATCGAACATTAATTAAGAGGGGACCGTTCTCATATATTCCTATCTGCTATGCCTGGCTAATTTCTTTTGAAAACAATTTCACTTTCAATAGAGATAAGCCTGGCATAAGAGAATATATGAATATGCCCCCCTCAATTACGTACGAAACGAACGATTGACGCCTATGACTATCAACATGTAATTGACCGTAACAAAAAAGATGGCAGCATGTACATTTTACCAGAATGCATTGCGGCATTAAGAATGATTGACTGAGAAAAGATGGCAAGAAAAACTCCTAATGGCGTGAAATTTTAACTCAGCGAAAAAAACTTCGTAAAAGTCAGCTTTTTTAAACTACAAATAAACTACTTTTTAAACAACCGCAATGCATTCTGGTAAAATGTACATCCGCCATTTTTTTGTTATAGTTAATTGCATATAGGCCTCTCTAATTTCCCTCGTATTTTTAATTTTCGGGCAATGAGTGGCGAAATTTTAAATTTACTTGGTGCTTTTATGCGATGACATATTCCTAATCGTACACATACAGATGTTATATGCCTTCAAACTAACCTCATGGTGGTTCAAGCATATTTATATTAGACATAAAGGGTATTTCCAAAAAACGAAATAGCAAATTGCCGTATATAAGCCACCCTACGGTATATAGATGAATAATTAAACGAATAAACTATATTTGTTAATTAAGAAAACTTTAACAATTAGAAGTCCAGCCAAACAATAATCGAAGGACACGCATACACAAATTAATTAAAATGAGTTATAATTATTTAAAAAAGAACGCATAACAAAGTATTTTTTGACGAACCTTAGGGTTAATGCGGTTCGAACACACGAATATATGCTATACGAACTGAAGTCAATAATTTCCTATGCATGGGTACATGTGCGTTACAACTAAGACTGTAATGTTTAGCGATGGATATAATTTATTTAGGTGTGAGATCAAATAAACCATAACGACTGCTGTTTTCTTGATATAGATACAATGAATTATTTCGACTTAAACTGGGACTGTTGAATGAAATGCCAGACGATGCATTACTGGTCGAAAAACTGTTAACGGTAGAGCAAAATATATTATCTTCTAATAATTTCCCTTGAACGGTAGTAGTTGCTTTCAGACTGCAGTTGCTAGTATAATCATGTATTTCTCCGTACTTTTCTGATGGATTTTCTCTCTTATGATGTTTTATAAAAACACAAAAAATCCGAATAGGTATTGGAGATTTTCGTATAGATTATATTCTGCTCACAACGCGGGAGATTCTTCATTGTGCTACAGTCATCAAATATGGTGTCAATAATAGTTTAATCTTGCAGATGATGCGTGAAACCAAGGCTGACTTCACGATGACTTTTCGAGGTTTAAGCGAACGTACGCTTCGTGAACAAAATGATCCTGAGATTATTAAAGAACACTGGGCATTGTCTGATTTATCAAAACATAGGAATTGGAAGGAGTGGCTTAATCACTATCACAGAAGACTACTTTTACAGTATGTAGCAAAATACATGCATGCAGCTATTTAGCATTATATGCATGCAGATGCAGGGTGGAATACTTTTAAATGTTTTATTTATTTTTTTAATAATTTTACAACAAATTGCATTGGTATTAATTAATGAAATTGTATATATGGGTGGTAGATATAATTGATCAAACAATCTCAAAATAAGGGCACTCGCCAGATATAAGAAACATTTGGTCGAAACAAGTGAAAGTTCCCCTGCGACCGGTTGTTCTAAAGGCGTTTAGCTTGAACATTAGATATGCCAAAGTTTAAAAACACTCTCATACAACTTGTGAATGACTGAACCTACATTTTATAAAATAAAATTATCTGCATCCAAATTTTTAGCTCAGTTGTTTTCCATTTTTAACTTCTTCCCCGTTTAAGTTAAACACCTTTCAAGCAACCGGCCCTTCGGAGATTTATGCATAGTTGATGAAAAATAGGTTGAAATATGGCATACGATGGGTATTAAGTGAGTTTTTTAAATATTTTTCCGATATCGATGTAGTAATGGTGAGAATGACAACGATATTAAAAGACAAAATAGAATGAAAGGTAAGTACAGTAGCTACACTCTAGCTCGTGTTCACATGCAATCCTCATGTGTTCGCGGATTCATCAATGAACGCGTGACCTACGTAACCTGAGGAATTTAATTGGGTAAAAATAGAAAAGAAATTGCCAGGAACTGCAGGGAATTACTTCCTATAATACCATGCATTGCAAAACAGTTAGGCGTGACGATTAAATTTTGAGTAAATTTTGCCACTTTTATTGTTATGATAATTATTCATATCCGAGCCGGCGCCGTGCGAGGGTACTAATTCTGTCTAGAGATATGGAATTGTTGCAAAATCATTTACCAGCATATAATATGATGAAATAACATAATTTGAGCATGTAGTATGTATCGTATATATGAGGATGTAGTACGACGGCGTACCTTTTATTAGGCGGCTTATACGCTATTTATGGGAGGGAGGCCTTTAGCAATTTTTTGGCAATTTGTTGGCAACCTATAATTTTAAATAACATAATAATAAATAAATATGGCAAATAATAGGCAAAAAGTTTTCGCGTTCGGATAGAGCAGGTAGCGGTGTTTAATCATGCGTTTGGACCTTGTGCACAAGTCTATGTAATTATTATTATTGCACTTCTATTCCCTGTGTCATTTGTATAAATTATTTGGTTATAGAACGCCATTTGCCTAAATCGATCGCGAACTTTGCTTGGCTATACTAAGCAATTATATTTTTTGTTATAGTTTCACGCGTACGGTAATTTTTAGTTTGTCGGTTTTTTAGAACGTAACCCTCTATATATTCTGCGAAACTGGATGGCTGAAAAAGCAATAAAAATGACTGAAATCGATGACTTTTCTGAGGTATGCTTCACTCTGTTTCAGCAATCAGAATTGATAAAAATTCAAATTATTGAAAAGCAGAGTATTCATTCGATATGTCATATTTTTTTCTATTTACATTTCAGGTTCGAAATTTGCTTAAGATTCTCGAAAATCCTTTTGTTAGTCAGGTTAGAATTATACCACTTGACAGATGACTTCCATATTTTCAACTTTATATATTGAAAGACTGACTGGCTGGCTAACACATCCTATATATTCGTTGCATAAATTATGACATGCTCAGTTTAAACCCCGGGGTGCTTTTATTCAGTTTTTCTCTTTCTCTCTCGAAAATTATCGTCCAAACACGCGAGTTAAAATGGTGCTACCGGCCGATCACTGACGCTATTGTTTGTTCGTATATATATATATATATCAGTAATCCTCTTAATCAGCTGTAATAGCTATATATATTCTAAAGGGTCGTGTTTATTTCAACTAAATATATGATCTTACTATACCCATCAGAATAAAACGGTGGCCCATTTATTTTTTTTATTCATGTTATATTTTTTCTTCATGTATAGGAAATCGCTGAACGTTCTGGGTACTCGTCGCGTCCACCTTCGTGGGCATCAAAACTGCGCGTAAGCTGTTCGTCATAATCCGATTCCCCCTTTTAACCATACCTCTCTATAGTTCCAGCGTTAACTTTCGTCAACGATTCTCGGAGTATTTTGTGTGGTTTGTTGTTTTTTGGCGAGAGGTAAAACGTACATATTAGCTATTAAGTTATATATGCATGTTCAACGACCGGTGGTAGGACAAACTGCATACACATACACATCGTGTCCATGTAATCGAAAATCAGGAAATTTGTTAACCACGATTATGATCATTGCACGACTTTTTTTTTCTTATTAGTTATACGTTTTTTGTAATTAAAAGATACAAAGATTTTATGAACTTCAAAATAATTATTAAAAACAGTACAATTTGGAATTATTGCAAATGATCATAATCAACAATTTTTACAATAATTTATTGAGAAAGGGTGCAAATAATGCTCAAAATCACTCTCAATTTAGGCAATCAAATTCCAGTATTTGCCAGTGATTGCAAGTGATATGCATAATTAATTTAAATCACTGTATAATACAAAAGAAATATTGATGTTTGGAGTGTAGCAGTCTACTGAACTGTAGTTGTAAAAGTTGAAGAGAAAATCTAAATATAGGTGGCAACTAATTTGCCAACAGGCAGATTAAAGATTTGAAATCTTGTTAACTGTTTACATGGAGCGAGTTATCCCGGCTAGGCGAGGTGAAAACTGCATTTTTGTGTAATATTACCATTCGAAAAATGTTACATGATAATACAAAACCCGTTTTTAATAATTATACTCGTTTTTAATAATTATGAAACCGTAATTCCGAACATTTTTCTGACAAAGTTATAAGTATAGCGTATATATAGCGTTTTAATATACAATCTTCGTCCATTGGCCTAAATCTACTCACGCGATCGGTCAAAATCAATCACATGGTTTCGTTTTGCCTGGCTACAGATCACAGGAATCATAGTTTATTCGCAGTAACCTGTGAAAATCGTGTTTTTTTTCAAAAAATGACAGCCTGCAGCGAAGCTTGAATCTTCAATGCAGCAATCAATGAACTCAGATTGTATATTAAAAGTGTTAAAGACTTTATGTTCGTGTTTTGTTTACAAATAAACGCACTTACCGCCCATACAATGAACTCGAAATTTCAATATCGAAATTTCTCGTTAATTCATTGTATGGTCAGCGCATGCGTTTATTTGTGAACAAAACACCCACATGACAGTCTCTAACCTTAAATATATATAACGTGGCTATAGGAAATATTTTTTACAATAAATATAGCGACCACAATCTTAAAATGGCCCTTCGTAATGATTGCCAAATATACAGGGTGCATGTAGCTATAAAAAAAATAATGTGCAAACAATATATTTTGCAGAAGTAGATGCTGCAAGTAATATTAAGTTGATATTACGTCAACAATTAATATATTTCTGGGATTTAAAAATATGTTTTATTACAAACTAATGGCTATAAGCACATGACAAAGAGTCTTTATCGTGCATGTTAAATTACGCGGAAACTCAAAGTTCGATGACAGTGATCAATAAAGTTATTGTATGTTTCATGTACACAATTTGCTCGTGTGTTCGATTCTAATCATAACCTTAAGGCCTGTTTTCCACTTCAATCGTAGTGTAACGTAGCGTATTTCTTTGTTTCTGAAGAATTTGACCAGAACTAATGACTTTAAAACAATGAAATACGTAGCTGTTATCCAATTGTTTTATCCCAGGGGACTTTTTTGGGACACCCTGTATACAGGCGTTATTTTCAAATTCCCAGGAGCAAACAATCTTGTGTATAAACGTAATTTCAATTTCTAAAAGTAAAAGTCTCCTTTTTCTAATGTATGCACGCCATCATGATTTCACGCACTACGGTTCAGCATATATGTGCATGCACTTGAAAGGCGTTCAAATTTTATACATCCTGTATATTAATAAAACGGGTTATAATACCCGTTTCAGACGTCAAACTTTTCAATATGTTCCTAACCTAATATTAACGAGCTAAAGTCTTTGTTTAGCATTCAAATCGGCACATGAAAAGTTCGACTTCTGAAACGGCGGTACGTAACTGTTCCCATGGAAGCCATTCCACAGATTCCATAAACGTACACATACCCGCATCAATATTTAACGTTTTCGCACAGTCCTATATATTTAAAATTAAACAAAAATATAGGAAGGGTTTCTTTTGGAAAAAAGCTTTCCTTTGAAAACATGAACTATAAAAGCTTTATTCTTGCAGGCGTATTTATGAAGGCGTTTTCTAGGTAAAATATTTTTAGACAAATAGAAATATGGGAAGGTATTTCTCTCGCTATTTCTTACGCTTTATCGTGCTGTAACAAAATAGATTAATTAATTCGCTCTTTGATTCGTGCGAAAGTACGAATATATATATTTATATATAGGAAACTAAACTGCAATCATTCAACGAGCCGGGCTAATCAATTTAAGTGATCAAATTGTTTTTTAAGTGATCAAATGACGTTTTTTGCAAGTTATAGATGTCAGCGAAGCAACTGCGACATGCATTAACATATATATATATATATATATATATATATATATATATATATTATATATATATATATATATATATATATATATATATATATATATAAACTCGAATCAGTCTACAATTAAGCCTGGCTAATCAATTTAAGTGCATGATCAAATTGTTTTTTGTTGGTCATTTTGTTTATCAAAAATGACCTACAATTAATTACTATTTAATCTCGCTTGCTCGGCCTGTGCATTGAACGAAGTATCAAACCTCCGACTTTGCCCCTACGATCTCGGTCTGTACTAAGAGACATTTTTCTTTGTTCAGACCCCGCAATCCTTTAATGTATATGTAGCTATAATATATTGCATATTTGCTCGCCTCTTTTTTTAGACATATTTTTTATCATCCTGCATGTATAACCCATACAAAGACCTCTGTTTTTCCACTCATTGATGATTGTATGAAAAGAGCAGTTATATAGCACCGAACTTTGGTACATTAAATTCACTATACATGCATGCAACATGGATTGAAAAGCTGATCGAGGTGTGTGTATAAGGCCATGCATGCATGCATGTATGCACGTATGTAAACGGGAGCCGCAAGTACTGTTTTGATCGCCTCGCAATATATTTCCTGTTTCCTGAGTATTGTATGCAATTATCTTTGGGATGGTCTGATTGCTTTATGTATTAATTGAGAACCTTTATCCCACGCACATTTAAACACCTGTAAGTGTGTGTGTATATATATATAACCTTGAAAAGGTGTTTGCTTCGTCCGCTCTGGTTATACTTGCAGGATTGCATAGCATATTTGGTAAGTTCTAACATATTTTAAAATATTTTAGTAATATTTTAAAACTATTATTTATATATCCATGCAAAATAGAACCATATGAATGCATGATATGCCTGTATAACGGATTAAAATATTTAGTTCCGTTACTGTATTCCAGTACTTTTTTACAGTGAGCATGCAGGTCGATGAAATACTGATTTTTTTGTTCTATACTCTGAACGCACGTAGTCGTTTGATATAGTAGCATTTCACTTCGTTTTTTTTTCATGGATGTTTTCTGGAATTGTTGTAGGAGTTTTTTTTAGCTCCCACATAACAATTGTCTAAATTCTTTTATATATATATATATATATATATATATATATATATATATATATATATATATATATATATATGTATTATAATTTTGTTATATATAGTTATTTTGCTATACCCGGGTGTAATTTCAAATCTCTGGTCGTGATTATGATGTATAATATATAAACTTGATCTCTGTTTTGAAATTTAGAGAATATTTTCTGTTGGAAGTTAAGAAAGAGTATACACGTACAATGGATGAGTCGATTAATTCACATTATACATACGAAAACAAGATGGTTGATCCCGCTGCACAGGCACGGTTACCTCTCACTGCCTTGGTATATATACCGGTGTTCTTGGTTGCTGAAATTGGCAATGCTTTTGTCATTTACTCGTTAGCTCGCCTCAAATATCGCGAGCGCACAGCAGTTGATTGTTACATTTTAAATCTTGCAATCGCCGATATTCTGATTACGACCTTGTCGTTGTTTAATGCTGCAGAGTACTTAAAGAACGAGTGGAAATTACACGAAGGAATATGTAAAATCCACGGTCCTTTATTGGAAGCATGCTATATTGTTTCAACGTTCACACTTTTGACAATCAGTTATAGCCGCAGAAAGGCAGCGAGCAATACCTTTCGGATACTAGATGCGAAAAAAACAGTAAAGCGAAATATCTTTCTGATATGGTCGGCGGCATTTGTGCTCACCTCTCCCTTGTCTTATGCTTACACGGTCGCAGAGAGAAATGGCCGATTACACTGTAGCAACACGAACTTTGACCAGATGTCTCGGCAAATATATTATCTCCTACAAGCCGTCTTCACGTTCTTTTTTCCTGTCTTCGTGATGCTAGAGTCCCGAAAGAAAATATCGAATGGCTTACGACGGCATTCGAAGATTTATTGTGCTGCGATGCAACAGCAGAATGCCCACTGGAGAAGAGTCATGGCACAGGAAAAACGAGTTAGCAAATTTCTTACATGGCTCTGGATTTTTTTTGTTTTCTCTTTTGGACCTAACATCACCCTGCGCACGATTGACCATTTCGTATTATTTAGACGTGGAAGCGAAGTATGGAACCAAATATGGCACATCAGTCAACTTTTAGTCCTTCTTAACTCAGCGATGAATCCGTACTTGTACTATAGAACAACTAACTGGGATCGCAGCAATGTTAATAGAATTGTTGAAATATTCTGTTGCCTTCGAAAGAAGAGAAAGACGTCACTTTCAAAACCTGAAGGCAAGCCACAGCCGCAACGTAAAGTTCGTGTAGTCTTAATTAAATAATGTTCGGAAACGGAGCTGTAATTTTAACTTTGCGAATTCAAAATTTTGAATGAAATATATACAGCGCTGCATGGTAAACCAGAGAGGTGCTGAAATCACCTAACGCTCGCCTGCACTGTTTGTCTAGAATAAGGCTAAACTCTGTATGAAAGGTATCTGTATGAAGCACAAATTACCGATCTTTTTATTACAAATTACAAGGCTAAAATCCACGTTGGAAGGTAATATTAAGCACAAACTTCAGATATTAGTTGTGACCTCAGAATTACTGGCCAAAACTGGCCTCGGAATTACATTAGTTTTATTTGTGACCAATATTTCTTCCGTTTCTCGCAATCCGCGCACGTGATATCAACAGGTAAGTTAACGGACCAGGCAAAAGTCCCTGCTTTAAGCCGGGCGCACACACAACGATTTTACGGTAGTTGGTCCATTCAGGTTTAGACATATAGGCAGCCCTTTCCCAGACCATAGATTAATGAGTGCCCAGACATGTTTTCCTTCTCGCGGCGCTCGCGCCTCGCGCGTGTACGCGAGTCTACTTAGCTCAGTGACTTGGTCTAATATTATGACCAAGTATAGATCGCCAGTCGCCACATTTTGATGAAAACATCCATCTAGACAATCTAGACAGGAATCGGCCGATTAAAATCGTCGTGTGTGCGCCTAGCTTTATGAAATAAACAAGATTGGATATTTATATCTACACAAAAAAGGATTATGCATCAAACAACGAAAAGGTATGTACATAAATCTTATAGGTAGTTCAAAGGGCCCTGTCTACAGTTTAACTGGCTTTAATAATATATTTGCTTGTGTATCTACATAAATAATATGCAAATATATGTCACATGCGTTGCCATTTGCCTTTGCATTCCGAGCCTATCGGCTTTCTACTTATAAATACTTATGTGCTAAAGCTTGTAATTGCGAATTATCTGTCAATATTCTTTAAATTTTAACGTTGGACTATGTTTTATATATATTCACTCCCTGAATGATTTCTATA